CCAATGCAGACAGTATAAACTAGTGGTTAAACATGTGGATTTATAAATTTAGAAGACCTGAGTTTAAATCCTGTTCTATGGGCCACATGGCAAAACCCTGTGTCTACAAAATATATGAGTATTAGCCAGCCATCGTGGCCCATGCTTGTAATTCTAGCTGCTTGGGAGGCTGAGGTGGAAGGATAGCATAAGTCTGGGAGGTGGAGGCTGCAGTGAGTTGAGATCATGTCACTGCACTCCAGCCTGGGTGGCAGGGTAAGACCCTGCTGCAAAAAAAAAAAAAAAAAAAAAAAATCCCCTTCTGCCTCTCACCAGCTACGTGCTATGTGACGTGGAACAGGCAATTTATCCTCTGGGGTCTGCATTTCCTCCTCGTGCACACACATGCACAGCCCCACATACGTAAATGTAGAAGCGTATGTATATACTGGATCCTCACAACAGCCCAATCGTGAAGGTACTATTATTATTCCTTTGTAACATATGACACTCGCACACAAAGTGTGTAGGATGGCACGGGCTACGTGAGTATTTCCTCTTTTTCCAAGTCTCTGGGCAACATTTCCACTTGCATCTCCCACAAGCAACTCAAATCCTACATGTCCAAGGCTGATGGCATAGCTTGTATCCTCACAAACCTGCCCATATTCAGGGCTCCCTAACCACAAAAGACACTTACCTGCTCGTTCCAAAGGTCATCCTTGATGCCTCTGCTTCCCTCATCCCCACATCCAGGTTCCGTCAAGTTGACTTCCTAAGGCCAGCTCATCTATGTCTCCACCCCAAACAGCTAAAGTTTCCACCACCTTGAGCACCCATGGGATTGGTCTCTCCCATTCATTCCATCCTTCTGTGGTGGGTTAAATTGTGTCCCTAAAAGCATATATTGGAGATCTAATCCCCAGTCCCTGTGAATGTGACCTTATTTGGAAATAGGCTGTTTGCAGATGTAATTCTTAACTGAATTACAGTTAAGATGACATCACATTTGGTTAGAGTGTACCCTAATCTATTGAGCAGTGTCTCAATAGGAAAACACAGACACACAGATGCAAAGGGAGGATGCCGTGTCCTGAGTGGGGCAGAGACATGAAGTAGTTGCAAGCCAGGAAACAGCTGGGATTGCCAGCACCCCACCAGATGCTGGGGAGAGGCAGGGAGGGTCCTCCCAGTCTCAGATGGAATTTGGCCCTGCTGACACCTTGATTTCAGACCTCTGGCCTGTAGAGCTGCAAGAGAGTGCATTTCTCCTATGTTAAGCCAGCGTACCAGCTTATGGTTCATCGTTTCAGCAGTCTGAGGACACTAATATATGTTCCTAACACATTCTTTGCACAGAAGCTTGGGTGACCTTTAAAAGCACAGATGTCACACCCCTTTTCCCCCAGAGTTTTCACTTCTCTTAGGACAGAATCCAACCCGCTCTGTCCCCTGCTGACCCTCTCAGCTTCACCTCTGACTACACTATCCCCACCCTCTGCAACCCAGCAATTCTGTTGGTCTTGAGTGAAGGGCTGAAAGAATAATTCAGTCAGAGCATAAATACCAACAATTTATCAAAAGATGACTCAATTCAGAATTTCCCAGACTGGTAACAACACTACCACCATCAACAACAAGAAAATCATAAGAGGCTTTCCTCATTGTACAGTTTCATTCTCTTAAAACTTTCCTCTTTGCTGGGCACGGTGGCTCACGCCTGTAATCACAGCACTTTGGGAGGCTGAGGCAGATGGATCACAAGGTCAGGTGTTCAATACCAGCCTGGACATGATGAAACCCCATCTCTACTAAAAATAAAAAATTAGCCAGGTGCAGTGGGGGGCTCCTGTAATCCCAGCTACTTGGGAGGCTGAGGCAGGAGGATTGCTTGAACCTGGGAGGTAGTGGTTGCAGTGAGCCGAGATCACAGCACTGTACTCCAGCCTGGGTGACAGAGCCAGACTCCATCTCAGGGAAAAAAAACAAAAAAACTTCCCTCCTCTCTGGTCTTTGAAGCCTGCCACAGCCCAAAGCTAAGGACATATGAGCTCTCAGGTCTGGAAATGATGAAAGAGGAGAAAAGTCCTCTTCATTTGCTTGTCATTACTTGTCACTGAATTTGGAACAAAGACATAACTGCAGAACAGGGTCCTGACCGGCTTCATGGCCAAATGACAAAGAAAGGGTGTGGGATTTCAGAAGAAAACTGCTGTGGACACAACAGCAGAAATGGTGTCAGCTTTTAAATATGGAGATCTGAACAGGCAGAGGTAGGTATCTGTTACAGATGTCAGAGGTGGCACTAAGCCAATTTGGTGGGTGGGGAATGGAAAGGGATATGTTACTCATAGCCAATCTGACAATTATTGAGCACCTCCTAGCCGTAAAGCTCTTTGTGAGTTAAATGTCCAGCATTCTGATTGCTGTAAACTTCTTATATCTATTAAATCATGTTATCTTCATCTGTCTTGATTCCCTGGAATACATAAAGCCACTGTCATCAATCACTGAGGTACAATCCACAGTGCCATCTCCACTGCCCACTTCCACTCAACACACCCTCAGAAGTCAATTTGCTTTGGCACTGCACTAATACAGCAGAGGGAAGAGAATTCAGGTCTGTTTCCTGATAAGACTCATTGTGGGTAGGAGCAGGAGCGAGGGAAGGTTGGGGACAGGATTTGATTTAAACTATATTCAAATCCATGCAAACATGGGCTATTAAAAAGGGCTTCTACGAAGTATTGGAGATCAAATTAATGTGCTGTCTGATTAAGGACACTCATAGCTCTTGACATACCAAAATGTGACCAAGAAATTCTCCAAGCCCCAAGCAACTGGTACCAAACAAGGTATCCACTTTCAGACAGGGATTTCCCTCTATTTTGTTTATTCCCAGTGCCTGGCCCAAAGCAAGTGTCCAGTAAATAGTTTTAGCATGAGCTCTGAGTATAGCCAAGCATTTTCACTGTGATTAGAAAAACAGACACAGACATAAGACATTGACTGGGCCATTACTGTCCTGTGAACCTAATAGCAGAGAGCGGCTCTCTAAGAGAAGATGATGTTCATTTGGGAAAGGACATTGCAGTGGGAATGTGTGTGCCATGGTAAACAATGTGCATAGTCAAGGCAGTAAAGGAAGATAAAGGTTTTTAAAGGGAAAAATGAGGAGGATTATATCACTGTTTTGAAATAATTATCTTTGGCTACAAACATCAATAACAAGGATGACACCGATCTGAGTTTGCACTAAATTTGCTAAGAAGATTTCTTTGAAAAAGTAGTTTTTGTGTAAGATTTCAATGGCCTTTGTGCAAAGTTCTGTTATTTTTTCAGAGCTTTTGTGATTTTTAGTTATCAAGCATACAAATGTGAGAATCCCCTTTTCTTAGCCTTGTGTCTATATATTGGGGTTTGTGCGTATATGTGAGTGTGTTTCAACATAAGGAACTCCATTTTGACTCTGACAACTTACGCAGTACCAAGGGCTTTATGCATCTTCTCATTTACGCTCACAACCACTGGGTCAGGTAAGGTCAATTATTAGCTCCATTTTTCAGGTGAAGAAAAATAGGCTTAACAAGGTTATGTTAAAACTCCTGACATCCAGGTGCACTCCCAGATCAGCTCAACCTGAACCTTTGGGAGCAAACCCGGGCATTGAGAGCCCTTAACGCTCCCCAGGTGAGCTCAACTTGAGCCAAGATGAGGACGGAGGTTAAGCTGGCCTAGGTCCCCAGCTGACTGTGAAGGAGCCTGGGTCAGGACGCCAAGCAGCCCAGTCCAGAGCTCACAGTCACCAACCACTGTGCTGCTTCCTGCCCTCAGCTGATACTGAAAGGAAGAAATAGTTCCCTCTCCCTACCTACAGAAAGCCAGTGAAGCAGATCATGACCAACAAGCACATGCAACATTACCTCTGTCCACTGTAGGTACAAACAGAGCAAGGACCATATGTTTCAAATGCTGACTCCACCAGTTTGTATTCCTATATAAACAGTGGCAGTTGGGAGCCGTGGATTTAATCCTTCCATCCCAATGGGTTTGCTCAAATTGCCTTTGATGCAGACAACTGAGATTTCCTCAATCTTATGTGAAGTTTGAACAGAAGTATCATTATAAAACTCAGCAGGGCTCAGTGTCTCACGCCTGTCATCCCAGCTCTTTGGGAGGCTGAGGCGGGCAGATCACTTGTGGTCAGGGGTTCAAGACCAGCCTGGCTAACATGATGAAACCCTGTCCCTAATAAAAATACAAAAACTAGCTTGGTGTGGTGGCATGTGCCTACAGTCCCAGCTACTCAGGAGGCTGAGGCAAGAGGATTGCTTGAACCCAGAAGGAGGAGGTTGCAGTGCTCTGAGATGTCGCCACTGCACTCTAGCCTGGATGACAATGAGACCCTGTCTCAAGAAGAAAAGAATTATGTGTGTTGGCTAGGTGAGGTGGCTCATGCCCATAATCCCAGCACTCTGGAAGACCAAGGCCGATGAATCACTTGAGCTTAGAAGTTTGAGACCAGCCTAGGCAACATGGTGAGACTCCATCTTCACAAAAAATACAAAAATTAGCCAGATGTAGTGATGAGTGAATGTAGTCCCAGCTACTTGTGAGGCTCAGGTGGGAGGATCACTTGAGCCCGGGAAGTTGAGGCTGCAGTGAGCCTTGATCATGCCACTGCACTCCAGCCTGGGTAATGAAGCCAGACACTGTCTCAAAAAAAGGTGAAAGAAAAAGAAAACATGTGTGTTGATATAATCTAAATAAAAATAGTGTGAGCTGTATAAATTGGTTTTAAACAAGTCCTTTAGCCTGCTCCCACTGTTGCCCCAAACAGTCTGGGACCCTTAACCTACCTTTATATAAATCCCGAGCCCCCACTGCCTAAGCCATTCTAAAGACAGCCAGCCCCTGTCACTGAGTCACTCTCCCATCCCTTAGCCTGGAAGAAGCAGGACCAGCTTGCCCTTCACTTTCAGTTCCCTGCACCTGAGCTCCAGGCTCCAGGCTCAGCTCACCTGCAGCAGCCGCAGCAGCAGCACGAGAAGCAGCAGCAGTGACAGGTGCCTCTTGGATCTCATAGCCACACGAGAACACCCAAACAGACTCAGAACGTGCAGCTGCTAGCCAGTCCTCCAAGCTGGTGGTCTCGCCGGAGCCACACACCCTCCCTCCCAGCCAGCGGCTTCTTCTCCGATGGTTTTCAGGTCACTTTGGCCCAGATAGCTTCATCCCAGCTTGCTCCTTCCTTCTTGGCTTTTCTTGCATTTATAAGAGTGGGGCGGGCTGCTTTGTAAGCCTCAACATCCGTTTGCCACAGGTAGAGTTCCTAGGAAGGGTGGGGTGGGAACTAAAGCCACCATGGTCCTGCCCGTACACAAAAGACTGGCTGGGGGCTGACCTCAGGAACAACAGCTCAGCCAGAGGAAGTAAACCAGCACCTGTCAGAAAGTAGAATTATTTGTTTCCTTGTTCATTCTAGTTTGCAAATAGAAGGCCCAATCATCGCTTTCTATAGCAAGATATGTTAATGACTATTTTCTATAACACTTATGCTCTTGAAACAAACAAGAAAACGAGAAAATGACTGCAAGAAATGATCATTTAAGGGGGAAGGGATTTGGAAGAATAAAAGAAAAGAGAAAACAACTTTTACTGTCCAAAACACTAAAAGTCTTATTCCAACAATGTCCCAGGGCTCTGGGGTTTGCAGATTATTTCTCCTAAAACTTCTTTTAAGCCCAGATTAATCTGCCTTTTTGAGTTTGGAATTAAAGTGGAAGGGAAAGAAATGGGAAAAAGCCTCCTTGCGGACGGAGATCTCTGTGGCTTGGGAGTCTTTGCATTAGAATTCTGAAAAAGGACGATTTGAGATTCTATTATACCAATACTTAAGTTGGCAATAAGCAAGTTTTAAAACACAATCAGTGATACATTAACCCCAATTACCTTAACATGACCTTGTTATCACATTACCTTGTTTAAAGTAGCAAACAGGTAAAATAAAGGTAACCTTTCTTTGCTTATTCTACGCATTGGCTTAGGCAAGGATTTCATGACCCAGAACCCAAAAGCAAATGCAATATAAATGAAGATAAATAGCTGAGACCTAATTAAACTAAAGAGCTTTTGCCAGGCAAAAGGAACAGCAAGCAAAGTAAACGACAGTCCACAGAGTGGGAGAAAATCTTCACAATCTATACATCTGACAAAGGACTAATATCCAGAATCTACACGAACTCAAACAGATTAGTAAGAGAAAAACAAAAAATCCCATCAAAAAGTGGGCTAAGGACATAAATAGACAGTTCTCAAAGGAAGATATACAATGGCCAACAACTATGAAAAAGTGCTCAACATCACTAATGTTCAGGGAAATGCAAATCCAAACCACCATACACATGATACCAACTTAACTCCTGCAAAAATGGCCATAATCAAAAAATCAAAAAACAGTAGATGTTACCGTGGATCAGGGAACACGTCTACACTGCTGGTGGGAATGTAAACTAATACAGCCAGTATGGAAAACAGTGTGGACATTCCTTAAAGAACTAAAAGTAGAACTATCATTTGATCCGGCAATCCCACTACCAGATATCTTCCCAGAGGAAAAGAGGTCATTATTTGAAAAAGATACTTGCACAGGAATGTTTATAGCGGTATAATTCACAATTGCAAAATCATGGAACCAACCCAAATGCCCATCAATCAACTACTGGATAAAGAAACTATAGCATATATATATATATATATATACGACAGAATATTACTCAGCCATAAAAAGAAATGAATTAACAGCATTGCAGTGACCTGGATGAGATCGGAGACTATTATTCCAAGTGAAGTAACTCAGGAAAGGAAAACCAAACATCGTATGTTCTCACTGATATGTGGGAGCTGAGCTATGAAGACACAAAAGCATAAGAATGATACAATGGACTGTGGGGACTTGGGGGGAAGAGTGGGGGGAGACGAGGGATAAAAGACTACAAATAGGGTGCAGTGTGTACTGCTCGGGTGACGGGTGCACCAAAACCTCACAAATCACCGCTAAAGAGCTTATGTAACCAAATACCACCTGTACCCCAATAACTTATGGAAAAATAAAATTAAAAAATAAATTTAAAAGAGCATATCAAAAATAAAATATAAAATAAAAAATCTCCCAATTAAAAAACTTTATTTAACTGAACATTCATAGCTCTGAGATGCTGCTGAATATTTTAATTTGAATAGTTTATTATTTTCATTGAAATTAATAGCTTATTATTGAAAGCAGGAACAAATACAACTTTAAAGTCTATAGATATTTCCTGTGCATAAAGAGAAACTGAATACCTTGTGCTTACTTTCAAAGTGGATATTTCTATAATGATAGCCTATTGAAAAAACCTGACTAAGTTAAAAATCACTAATTTAGAATATATAAGTCAGGTGAGCTAAGCCATGGTAAATATTTGTGGAAAAAAACACACAGGTTGAGCACCCCCTGCTGCTAGAATAGTGCTGGGGACTGAAATGTTCTTGTTAGAAAGGAGCCTCGCAAAGGTCTAGTCTGGGAGGGGCTGGGGGCTGACAGTGAAGGATTTCAGTTTCACATTCGTTTTAAGTTTAAAGGAATTGGTATTTTAAAATTAGCCGAGCATGATGGCACACACCTGTAATCCCAGCTACTCAGGAGGCTGAGGCAGGGGAATCACTTGAACCCAGGAGGCGGAGGTTGCAATGAGCTGAGATGGCACCATTGCACTCCAGCCTGGGCAACAAGAGTGAAACTCCACCTCCAAAAAAAAAAAAAAAAAAAAGGAACTGGTATTTTAATATATTAGAAACGACTAAGTTTTCAACATTCTCAAGCACTTAAAATAACTGAGCAAACTACCAGTTCCCCACACAGCAACCCTTCTTGGGGAGGCTATGGGGCCTTGAACTCAGCTGGTGATTCTGGGCATCGCCTGCTGTTCGTCTTGGGTGAGCCCGAGCTAGAAGATGTCCCACTCCCTTTCTATTCTGAGCATGTGATCACAGTGACAATAATCTGGTGCTCCTTTCTGTGTCCTTGGAAGTACAGTAATACTTTATAGCGACATGGTGGCAGCTCCCAGCTCCCTGTAAGCTGACAAGTGAAGAAATGAGATTGCTCTTGAGATAAGAATTACTGGATGATTGCAAGGGACGTATGAGCTACAATCCCTTACCCAGAGTCAACCTTCTCATCTTTTGGAGGGCTGCCCCTACCCACCTCCAGTTCTCACTGTTCTTTTTTTAATAACGAGGGCATCATGAGGGCATCCCCACCCGGCTTGGACTTCTGCTTGGACAGTGGTCTGGCTGGCCAGGCCCATACCCAGCTGAAAGGAAGGAAACTGAGGTGGACAGTGGGCCTGAAGGAAGATAAACTCACCTGACTGCCTCCATTTGGCATTTACCACACGGATCAAGTAAACAGGGGAGAAGTAAAGTGCTGGGCTTGAGACTTCTTTCCTGTCTGAGGAGGTGAGAAGGCTGGAGTTCGATGCAATTCCCCCTCCAAAGAGGTGAGCAAGCCACAGTGAAAGGCTGGGAGGGTGGAGGGTGGCCTGTTACAGAGGTCTCTCTTTCTGTCACCAACACTGAGGGAAACACAGTCTGGAAGAGGGAGGGAGCAGAGGTGTCTGATGGCAAAACGCCACCATGCCCTAGGATCTCAGTGCTGGGTTGGAAGGTTAGGAGGGGCTGCCCAAGCCTCCCCTGCCCACACACGCACCCGGGAGTCTAGCCCACCCAGGGCAGATGGAAGAGACTAGATTTCCATCAAGGTGGACATTGAAGTTTTAAGCTGGGCTGGTTTTACTAACTGACGCAACTGGGTAATGATGAACTTCAGTTGTAACTGAGAGATTGAAATGGTTTGGGTGAAGACTCAGATTAGGGAAGAATAACATGGCTCATGCTTATGAGTCAAGACCTTGCTATGTTCACGAACACAGAAATCATTCTGCAGCCAAATACTTCTGAATTCAAGGTCCCGTTTCTTCATTGTCACAAGAAAAGTTTAAGTTCTCAGAACATTCTTGAGAAGAGTTTTTTAAAATAATCAGGGAGAGTTCTGCTTGCAGTAGTGATGAAGTAGCTCCAGCTCTGCTGTAGACAGAACAGCTATTAACAAAATATAAAGCAGGGCTGGGCATGGTAGCTCACGCCTGTAATCCCAGTGAGGGAGGGGATCACCTGAGGTCTGGAGTTCAAGACTAGCCTGGCCAACATGGTGAAACCCCGTCTCTACCAAAAATACAAAAACAAAAACAAAAAAATTAGCAGGGTGTGGTGGCAGGTGCCTGTAATCCCAGCTACTTGGGAGGCTAAGGCGGGAGAATCACTTGAATGCAGGAGGCAAAGGTTGCGGTGAGCTAAGACACGCCATTGCACTCCAGCCTGGGCAACAAGAGCAAAATTCCATCTCCAAAAAATTTATAATAAAATATATAAAACAGCTACCCAGAGTGGAGGCCCTGGAGGGTGAGCACAGCAGGCAGAAGCTAGAGGGAGTCGAATGCCTGGAAGAGGCCATAGCTGGGACTGCTAGGCAGCTACAGGATTGGACAGAGCAGATGGAGCCAGGTGGCAGCTGTCCAGTTGTGAAAGTAGGCACGCATGTATTCACTGTGAAGCCCTTTCCACTTCCCTGTATGTTTGAATTGTTTTGTTTTGTTTTATTTTGTTTTGATACAGAGTCTCACTCTGTCACCCAGGCTGGAGAACACTGGTGCAATCTCAACTCACTGCAACCTCCGCCTCCTGGGTTCAAGTGATTCTCCTGCCTCAGCCTCCCGAGTAGCTGGGACTATAGGTGCATGCCACCACACCCGGCTAATTTCTGTATTTTTAGTAAAGATGGAGTTTCACATGCTGGCCTGGCTGGTGTCGAATTCCTGACCTCAGGCGATCCACCTGCCTTGGCCTCCCAAAGTGCTGGGATTCAGGCATGAGCCACCGTGCCCAGTCTGAAAATTTTTATAATGCAATGTTGGGAAAAAACAAATGGTGAATTTGACTCCATCAAGGAAAACTCCACCAGCACTTTACTTCTCTGGTGTTTACTTGATCCATATGGGAAAGGCCAAATGCAGGTGGAGTTGGATGTGTTTGTTACCTACCCTCAGTCATGCTGTCCTCCTTGGTTCCCTTCCTTTCAGCTGGACACGGGGCATGACCAGCCAGACCACTGTCCAAGCAGAAGTCCAAGCTGGGTGGGCATACCCTCCTGATACATTCATCATTATCAGGTGTAGAAAACTATACTTAAAGTGTAGTTTTACCCAATACTTGATATTGTATCTCTGGTTGTACCCCAAGATCTTTTCACATATATTAAGAACTGAAGTTCATTAGACTTCATATTACAATAAAATAATCCATTATTTGTATTTCTGGATTTCTTTTTCAAGGATTAAGAATTTTGTTTTACAATTCTGATTGCTTTACTAATCACATGGGTTGATCTGAGTGTGCAGTTTCTTAGGTTTTGTATGTTGTCAGCCACCAAGAGCTGGCCAGAAAATTACCTTGGAGAGCTTTTAATCTCTTGCCCCAATTTTTTCAACTAATCTGTAGTTGCAGATAAACAATTAGAAAAACAAACAAAAATTCTGCCAGATATAACATATTGAAGGCTTTTTGCTTTTCGGAAGTATATTCCAATGCTAATCATACTAATGGTATGAATCACCATGCTTTTTCTTCCATCTGTTTTGTTTGTAAATCAAGATGGTTCAACCTGTGACCCAGGACAACTTTGAATGTGGCCCAACACAAATTCATAAACTTTCTTAAAACATTATAATGTTTTTGTGATTTTTTTTATTATCTCATCAGCTATTGTTAGTGTTAGTATACTTTATGTGTGGCCCAAGACAATTCTTCTTCCAGTATGGCCCAGGGAAGCCAAAAGAATGGGCACCTCTGACATAAACTGTTTATCTTTCTTTAGGAAAGGAGAAAAAGAAGGAAAGAGAAGGGGAAGATTTAAACAGTTGTTTTTATCTTTCTGCATCAAAACCTTTTCTGTTAAGGTAAAAATATATACTTTAAAAAAATCAGAGCATCTTCAATTAAATTTGTTAAGCTATTTCAATATTACATAAATTCTATAAAAAGCATTTTATTCCAGTATTTAGAAAACACCGCATGAGAAAAGCAAAGCCTTCTTTTTCTTTCTCCTTACTTTATTTAGGCAGAGTATCTCAAGAGATAGGTTTAGGGGAAAAGCTTGCTGACAGATGGTGAAGACCCTTCTGATGCTGCACAAAATGACCAAGTGAGTGAAAGGAAAGAGACAAGGGAAGGTCGAGTGAGTGTTCCACACCTGGAGTTCGAAAATCTAGGAGTCTGAATGTAAGGAAAATGAGATGAGGTGGTTAGGTGATCCAAGAAACCCGAATGCTATTTTAAGTCTTTGATCAATTTTGAGTTGGTTTTTGTATAAGGTGAGAGATAGGGATTCAGTTTCATTCCTCTACATGTAGCTTGCCAGTTTCCTGAAAGAATACAAATTCTAGAAGACAACATTGGAAACACTTTTAGACATTGGGCTAGGCAAAGAATTTATGACTAAGACCCAAAAAGCAAATGCAACAAAAATAAAAATAAATAAATGAAACCTAATTGAACTAAAGGGTTCTGCACAGCAAAAGAAATAATCGGCCTAGCCAACAGACAACCACAGAATGGGAAGAAGAATTTGCAAACTACACATCTGACAAAAGAAGTAGTATGTAGAATCTATAAGGAACACAAATAAATCAGCAAGAAAAAAACTAGGTAATCTCATTAAGAAGTAGGCAGAGGACATGAGTAGACAGTTCTCAAAAGAAGGTATACAAATGGCCAACAAAAATGTGAAAAAAATGGTTAATATCACCAATCATCAGGGAAATGTAAATTATAACCACAGTGAGATACCACCTTACCCCTGTAAAAAAGGCCATTTTTAAAAAGTCAAAAAACAGTAGATATTGGCACGGATGTGGGGAAAAAGGAATGCTTATACACTGCGGATGGGAATGTAAATTAGTACAACGTCTACAGAAAACATATGAAGATTCCTTAAGGAGCAAAAGGAGATCTATTGATCCAGCAATCACACTACTGGGTATTTACCCCAATACAGTTTGGCTGTGCCACCACCCAAATCTCATCTTGAATTATAGTTCCCATAATCCCCACGGGTCTGGGAAGGACCTCTTGAGGGGTGATTAGATTATGGGTGTGGTTCCCCCATGCTGTTCTCGTGATAGCGTGAGTTCTCATGAGATCTGACGGTTTTATAAGGGGCTTCCCCCTTCACTTGGCTCTCATTCTCCCTCCTGCCACCCTGTGAAGAGGTGCCTTCCACCATGATTTTAAGTTTCCCGAGGCCGCCTCAGCCATGGGGAACCGTCAGACAATTAAACCTCTTTTCTTTATAAATTACCCCGTCCTGGGCATTTCTTCATAGCATCATGAGAACGGACTAACACGTACCCAAAGGAAATGAAGTCATTACATGGAAAAGACACTTGCACAGGTATACTTACAGCGGCACAATACGCAACTGTAAAGATGTGGAACCAACCTAAGTGCCCATCAACTAGTGAGTGGATAAAGAAATGTGGTATATATACATATATCTGTATCTGTATATGTATATGTACACACACACACACACACACACGCACACACACACACCATGTATACCATGGAATACTACTCAGCCATTAAAGGGAGCTAAACAATGTCTTTTGCAAAAACTTGGATGGTGCTGTTTAATTGATCTCAAGGAAGGAGAAATTCAAGTCCACAAAAACTTACATGAATTCTGTTTATTGAATACAAAACTAAACCTGCAATATAACATCGTTATTCTAACTGAAGTAACATAGGAGTGGTAAACCAAAATCTGTGTTCTCACTTATAAGGGGGAGCTGAGCTATGATACGCAAGGGCATGAGGAGTGATATGACGGACTTCAGAGACAGAGAAGGGGAAAGTTGGGAGGGGGAGTAGGGAAAAAAAACTGCACATTAGGCACAATGTACGCTACTCGGGTGACAGGTGCACTAAAATCTCAGAATTCATCACTGTGTAATTTATCCACTCAACAAAAAAACACACATACCCCAAAAGCTATTGAAATTTAAAAAAAAAAAGGAATTTCAACTCCATAGCATTCACTTGTGGAGCAGACATCAGAGGCCATAAATCACTCATTTAGGTAACCTCCTAGGTAAACAGCCCCAGTGCCTTTCAGCTATGGAGAAAACAGGGCTAGAGAAGCAAATGTCTTGCTTGAGGGGAGGGAGGGCCTGCCAGCTACTCACACACCATAAAGGCAGTCACTCAAACCTGCAGACTTAAGTACTGGGAAAGCAGTTTTCTCAAACTTTAATGAACCAAGTATTTTGTTAAAATGCAGACTGTGACTCAGTAGGTCCAGGGAGGAGTTCGAAATTTCAGTAGCAAGGCAGGAAATTGTCCTCGCTTAATGTAATCTAAAGTTAAATATGTGCTATTTGTTTGCTTTAAAATCTCATTTAAGCTAGAACAATTATATTTATGACTATCCCATTTTTAAATTCAATATATATTTTCCAGTGTTATTACAGTAATTTCTTATATATTAAATTGCTGAAGACAAAAATAGTCGAATTGTATTTTATGAAACAGGGTTCTCTGAAGATTTCTATAAATCAATGATTTATGTTACTTCGTTGAGCACGATTCTATGCTGGATACAGGGTTTTATGATGTGGGAATGTTCAATGAATCAGAGAATCCTCCACAGCATCTAACTGCATATAATAAACCATTTCATTCTCTGATGGCAGAGTGAAGTTAAATCAAGAACATGCTTTGGGCCTGAAGTCAAAAAGTCTTTTTCTCTCCATTTCTTTTTGATTCCAGTAAAAACCTTTTCATTCGTCTAGAAGGCACTCACAGGCCAAATTCACTGGTATCTGAAAAGGTTTAGTCGCCACCTTGTGGATAGTAAAACAGCAACATCCCAAAATAATACATTTCCTGTACAAAAAAAATGAATTTAAACCTCCGACATGGTTTTCAAAACATACCCAAAAAATTATTTTTAAGCCACCAAACATTACTGCCACAATTTGGTTGACTCAAAAGAATGCACCCTATTATCAGAAGTGAAGTTAAAAGAGCAAAGGGCCTTTCAGAATGCTTGCAGCCAAAGCTGCTTGAAACTACCCTCTCCTAACCAGGCCACTTCCTTGAAAGAGACCTACTCACTTCCGGATATGTACATAAAAGTACAACTTCATTACATCACATGTTATCTTAATTTATGCTTACTGAATTTGCATCCTCCTCCCCTAATTAATCCTCAACACCTTCTGAGGGGCAATAAGGGGAAGAGAGACTCGAGAAATTTACTGCAATACTTCTCAAATATATCTGGTAATGTTAACTGGATGCCTATGTCGCTTAGTGTTAAGACAGGAGTTGAAACAGCATTTCATCCTGGGTAATTCTTTTAAGTAACCAGGCAGAAAATAAAAGCAAGCTTCAGAAGAGAACTGCATGAAGAGCAAAGCAAAACAATACCAGAAAAATCCAGACAATATTTTTCTGCTGTTTAATTGATCTCAAGGAAGGAGAAATTCAAGTCCACAAAAACTTACATGAATTCTGTTTATTACATACAAAACTAAACATACAATATAACAGCAAATAACAAACATGCTGAATATTTTGAGGCCATTTTGAATGATGTCCTCCTGTACATGTACATAAATAATAAATACTGCTTCTGAATTACCTTAAAATACAGTACCACCAAGAATCTTATATTTTTATGTAACTACTCAATAAATGAGCATACAGGAATGAGGAAGTAGACAATACCCATATCACATGAAGTAGAAAGTCTTATGTCCTTCTGAAAAGCAACATTATGGGCCCAAGAACAACTACAGACCATTTTCCTTTTAGCTATTAGGTATGTGGCAAGACCATATGGGTCTATTCTCTTCCCCATCCTTTTTGTCACAGGGCACGAAGTCTACCCAATTCAAGTTAGTTACAAGTCTTCAGCCCATTTAGTCATTTAAGAAGTTGAGAAAGAGTCTAAACCTAAATAATCATAGCGAATACTGCAAATGCTGATATATTTTATTTTTGTACTTTTTTACAATTTTTCCATCAGATAATTCTAAGCCTGCAATATTTTTCTTTTCTGTGTGTGTGTGTGTGTGTGTGTGTGTGTTTTATTTGGATTGTTTTAAATGCAGGGTATATGTAAACAACTCCCCCGAAATGAGAGGCACTTCTTGGAAATACAATGACCCACGTCACTAGACTAGCAAGACACTCAGTGTTTTTGACTTGATGAACTGAATGAGTTCATGATTTAACTTTCCAATGTTGTCTACTTGAAAAATAGCAAGATTCTTATCTGCAGCATTTAGTGCATTAAGATGTATTAGATATGTGTATCACATATCATAAAATTAAAATTGTGCTTATGTTAATTCTGTAACAGACCTAACTTTAAAATACTTCATGTTATTCACTAGGAGCTATGATCCAGTCACAATAATATTGGTTAAAATAGCCAATCTGAGGCAGAAAGTAAACAAGCGAAGTCACTTTTTCAGGCTTTTAAAACTGTTTAACACATGAAATTATGACTGTTTCCCAGATTATGGAATCAGCTTCAGTTGAAAAATCTGGGAACAAATGTATGAGTTATTACCTCTAAATTTCTTTCTTTCTTTTTTTTTTTTTTTTTTTTAAGACAGAGTTTCACTCTTGTTGCCCAGGCTGGAGTGCAATGGTGCAATCTTAGCTCACCGCAACCTCTGCCTACTGGGTTCAAGCAATTCTCTTGCCTCGACCTCCCGAGTAGCTGGGATCGCAGGCATGCGCCATCATGCCCAGCTAATTTTGAATTTTTAGTAGAGACCGGGTTTCTCCATGTTGATCAGACTGGTCTCGAATTCCCAACCTCAGGTGATCCGCCTGCCTCGGCCTCCCAAAGTGCTGGGATTACAGGCATGAGCCACCGTGCCCGGCCACCTCTAAAGTTCTTAATCATGATTGTCTTCAGCTCAGACATACACAAGGCAAGTAGAAATATTAATAAATCACTTTACCCTTAACTACTCAAGGTCTCTAAGAGTATGCACATGGATACATTACAGGGAAAGGTAGCAACTCAGCATAAACCCTTGTTTAAACATAAGGAGTATATATATACACATGTGGATAGAATATCATGCTTTTGGATGTCTGTTGGCCATGAAACTTCATAGAGAGCTGCAAAAAATCTAGCAGAGAAAGGAGCATAGGCAAAGTGCCAGCCATGGATAACAGACTCATCTGTGCTCACAAAACAGGGCAGTCAGGGAACACCAGACATCACTCGGGAATCACATGAAAGCTAAGAATAGTGCTGTTTTCCAAATAGAAAACATATACTAAGTACAAAAACTATAGTATATTTGAGGACTAAGGAAGTAATGCTTACTCTATGTACATCTTTCATTCACATAAAAAGCTTAAAGACCATAGTGTAAAAGCATGCTTTCTCCAATAGGATGGTGTGAGAGGGAAAGAATGTAAGAAAGAACTTGTACAAGTCTGAAAATTAAGTCTTGAAAGAAAAAGCCTACCATAAAAAATTTTATGTCGTTTGGTATGATTAAAATCAGATTTCAAAAGATCTTAAAACTTAACCTTTGCACATTGTTTTTTATAATTATATACATATAATTATAGCTACATAATCTTGTCCTTATGCTGTTTGTGATATTTTTTCAGACATTTACTGCTGTCTGGAAAGCTATTATATATTCCCAAATGAAAAATGCCAAGTTTTTCATTTGCCCCAAAGGTGAAAAAATTGAAATCTCTATGTGAAAAACAAATACAGTAATTGTTTAAAGGGATAAAATCAACTATAATTACATGGGCAGTATTAAAACACACTGCACAAATATAAACAGAAAGCTCACAGCACAACTATAGGAACCAGAAACCTTGGAGAGAGTCAGGAAGCCTTAAGACCAGATAAGGGGGTTTAAATACATTCAGCAACTTTATTCACATTCCACTCTCCCGCCCCTCACCCCCAAGCAAGATAATAAAATCCTGCTCTTGAAAACTAAAATGGATCATTATTTTTGACTAAGGACAACAGGGTGTGGATCCCAAATCAGTAACTTTGTAACTAATATATTCAATGTAGTTCCATGTATTCTGATCCTTTTACAGACCCTTCATTTACAAATTGTAAAGAGCGATTTCCCTGTGGCACCTTTCTGGAGAAGCCTTACATGCCAGCAATTCCGGGGTGTCAAATATTTCATTCTTATCCCCACCAAACAGCAGTAATCATGCTAAGCCATTGACTTTGGAAAATTCTGCAAATTATTTTAACCTCAGTTTGGAGAACTAAAAATTGGATTTTACCACCACCTCTAAGTTTAAAATGCCCTTTAAAAAAAAGAAAGAAAGAAAAAACATGTCAAAGAAAACGTATTAAAGCACTAGATTCCACTGTCTCTAAAGAGCCAGCAGCTTAGTGATAAATGACTACCCAAAACACAAACTCACTACTCCCTGACTTGAGGAAGAACTAAAGCTTCTCCTAAGGGTAAAATGAACAGAAATTTTGCTTGAAGAGCTTATAAAAAAGTAAGAGAGCCACTGGGAGAAGTAAGCTAATTGTCGGTGCTCTGTCAGTGAGGGCAAGAAGGGCCTTATTTTCAATATTTAGGATTCCACACCATTTGAAAGTCTGCACTATTTATATATTTAAGTGCACGTGAAAATGGGAAGATAACACCGCCATCTGCTCTACACAGGCCGGCTACGATTGCTGAGGTTTCAATGGAGAAACCTCGAGAGGAGCCATTTTATTCCTTTATATGGCACATATTTTAGGTAATTTTTATCTAAAGTGCTCTCATTTGCCTAAGACTGACAAGAAGAAAGGCTTATTGAAAGACACTTCTCTTTGAAAATAACCCCACTGGGGTAGAAAGAAAGTGGACAAAAATGCCAATCAACTACTTAAATGTCAGTATTGTAAAATTCCTTAAAATTCACAGCATTTTGACTTTCGGAAGAGCTCTAACATTGAGGTGCCCGCGGGTCTTGGCAATTCCTCATTTGAGATATTTAGTTGAGTTTATATGTGTTTTGCTTTACTCCATTTGTTTTCAGTTTTTTCTCACTCGATGCAGTGGCATGACCACCGCTCTCTGCCTTTCCCTTTTTCCTAGGATGTGCATGTGCTGGTGTTTTGGAGGCCTTGCAGGAATCTGCTGAGTCCAGCACCACAGCTGCCTGTTTGGGAATTCGAATGTTCCCGTTGGTTTCCACCTTAGAGCTGCGGTCACCGCAGGACAGATCCCAACGCTGCAGCCTCACACACTTACTGGGTTTCTTTTTCTTTTCTTCTATCCTCATTTCAAGGGTTTGTTTCTGAGAACAAAACCTGGTACCACCCAGCACATCAGCGGGCCTGGGGGACGTCTCAAATGCAAAATGTGATGGATGGACTTCTTCACGGCGAAAAGCTTTCTTTCGGGAAGGGCCTGACTTTGAAGCCCCTTCCTGGTGAGGTAGCGGCCTGGACAGAGCACTAGCAATTAGCTTAGTTCTCCCAGGGCTTTTCAGTGCCCCTGGGGTCCCAGGGAGAGTGGGAGGCCTTGCTTTGGGCCCCTTTGCTTTTTCATACTGTACAGTCTGGATCTGCAGCCACTCAAGCTGAATAAGTCTATCGATATACCTCCCAAGAAGTCCTCCCACCCGTGGCCCAGCTTCGGTTTTGTGCTCTGCATTCAGAAGCAGGGCCATATCTCGCAAGTCCCAGGAGCTGAAAGGGGGTGGAAGGAAATCGGGATAATAGTATTCAGACTTTGCATGGCCCTGACCAGGGTGAAGATCAAAGTAAACTGGATCAATTTCTTCAGCTCGAAGATTGAGATCTGGAGGTGTGAGGGGAGAAGGAGGAATGGGAATTCTTTCTGAATCAGAGAGATCACTTGCACTGTCCTCATCAGCATCTTCTTTCATAATTCTCATTGACTGAAAATCAAGAAACAATTTATTCCCTGAGGCTCCCTGACATCTGGACCCAAGTGGATTCCTTTTGGGTCTTGCTTCTGGGGAAATGCTTTCTTTAAGTTTTTCTCCAGTTGGCCGGGTGACAGCTGAGAGGCTGCTTCTCGGCTGGGAAGAAGCATGGGGTACTTGGGATTTACTCTGCCTTTTTCCTGAAGAATTCTTTGAATGTTGCACTTTATTCCAAGATGCGCCAGCATTCATAATGCTGTAAAAAATAAAACTGCAATTCTTACCACATAAGACAAAAAATGGTCTGACTGTAATTAAAGGAACAAAAAGAATCTTCTAGTTGTACTTTTTTGTCCCAGCTATTACTAGGCATTACAAAATGTCAGCTTCCAAACTCCTGACAGCAGAAGTGATTTTACAGAACATTTTCTCATATAATACTCTATTGGAGTGCATGATATAAAGCATGTGACAAAAGAGAACGAACAGTTTCCATTTTACATCGAATATGAGCATTTAGGAAAAACTAACCATTTCTCAAAGTGCTTGTTTTATACTTTTAGAGCAATTATGTGTACTGTAAACAACATAAGTTTGGAAAAAAATCAGTTGTAGAACTCTGGAATTGTTATGGTCAAAACATTTAATAATATTTAGAAGTAAAAATCACTTTTATTTTATACACCTCTTTTAAATTAAGCGTAAATATAACATGCAAGTTTTGCAATTTAATCACTGATTAGTGGCCATTCTGAGCTGAGTGAAAATTTAATATATAAAAGCATAGCACACAGAAACCTATACCTTAAACCAAAAGCTTGTTAAAATATTTTCAAACAGAAAACACATTTGGGAAAATTGTGTTTAAAGAACAGAAATAAAATCACACGGTGCCCTATAATACCTATGAATGAACACACAGGGTCTTAGAGCTATCTTGTGAATAGCAGGTAAAGGAAATAATGAATACTGTGTACCTTACAAGTATAGTAACTAATTCTTTAAAGCATAATTTATTCTGAGGCCAAATCTCACATTAGAGTTGAAAATACCCTCTTTTCAATTTATTTACCAAGAACTTAGCATTTAAGATTAATAATACTTCCCTGCAATATAAGTCAGATAGAATAAACAGAAATGGGTGATAAACAAGCTTTCTGGAAACCTCAGAGGTTCATTTGGCCAGTGGTTTCAAACAAACCAAGCAACTATTTGAATATGTACTACATTTTAATTGAGAATATGGAGGATATTAAATCATTGCCAATAGTACAACATGTGCTCAATAAATGTTGAATAAGTGAATGATAAAATGAAAGAATGTCCATTATTCAGAATTTGTAACCTGTTAAAACATTTTGTTTCTGCCTGGCTGTCAGTGTGCATCCATAAAAGTGAATTATTGTTAGTAACCTTTTACATAAAGGGAAACTAACATAGAAAAGTGAGTAAGGGACTTACTCAAAATTACAATTCTGATAACAACTGACAGAAGTATGACCACTGGAATCCTTATCCACTAATAATTATGCTTAAACTACTTTTCCACGCATTTCTGCTAGATAAAAATTATAAATGTATATTTCTTATCCATAGACATACTTTTTTTTCCCAAATCTACATATTCAATCTGGACAACAGAGATCATGAGTCTTTCGCAAGATACAATTATACTAAAACCATTTACCTGCTTTTCTGATGCGATTCATTCACCCTATTCCTCTTCTTGAAAAAGTCACATGGCTGATCATCATCTAGGGTTTGACGGACTGTCTAAAAACCAAGGATACAGTAATAAATACTGTGAACACATACATGAGAAACAAACAAAAAATCCAGAATAAATCTAAGTAAGATCTTTCTTCTAAGTTTACATTACCTTTTCTGTAGTGCTCAAAATATTCTTGCTCAATCTGCTGGAAGATGATGACAGCTGGGGAGGTGACTTCTTTATTCCTCTTATATTTGGAAAGGTCTCCTCACCACCGGAACTAGAAGCCACAGAATACTGTCAGTAACTATTGATTGCAAATGGTCCTACCACCGGTATTAGGTTGGTTTTCCACTTGTTTTTTAATACTTGTATAGTATTAAAATATTAGGGCTGTGATCCTGGGGAAGGGAGACATTGTCTTATGCTTACAGTTTTATCTTTTCTGCTTATTACAGTAGATATTACACACTACTATAACTACTGTGAAGAGATTCCATCTCTCTCTCCCCCTGTTCACACACAGGTATATCTTCCTTGGAAATAACATGTTGAAGAAATTGGAAGGCTAAATAAGGTCAGGTCTTATTACAGCCTTCAATTACTGCGTTGCCCAATCATTCATTCATTCAACAAATATTTATAGGAGTGTCCATAACGGCAGCGATGATGCACGTCTCTGCTCTGAAGGAGCTTAAACTCTAAGAGGGACCTTCCAACTCAATTTTCCTGCCTTCTCTATCGCATCAATCCATTACAAGATTTTCCATACATTCATACATGTTACATATTAGCTCTTTGTGAAATATTGTTGACCCAAACCACAGATAGCTGTTATTCCCCTCTCATTTTGAGTGACCTGTTAAAAGTGCACTGAATGGAAATTGGATATTTCTCTTTCCCCTATCACCTGTCTCTGTAACATAAAAGAGATGTGACTATAGATATTTTCTTCCTGAAACTTTCCTGTATTTTTTCCACAATAATCATGCAAGCCTTTTTAGTTAGCTCACATCCGATGATAAATAAAATCACTCTCTCACATTTAATGACTTATACCACAATCAACAGGCTTGACTCATTTTCGATGTAGAAAATGTTCTTTAATAAACTCCCCTTCCTTAGTCCTTTTTTCTTTCTGCTTTGTCCCTCTGGACAGGAAAAAGGAACCTTCTCCATGGAATGCCTGGCCCCAAACTGCTCTCTGGAAAGTGCACTTGGATCGTTCTCACTCATTTCACCTGGTAAGATTTACACCAAAGGCTGTGTGGGGTTTTGTGCTCAGAGCTACGCGGTGAGAGACACGAAGGCTTGCAGGGTTCTAAGGATGCAGAAAACGAGCTCCAGGCCTCGCTGGTGTTTCTGGCTTGCATGGAAACAAAAGCTGAAAGTCGGAGACTCTGGCTACAAATATGCTCCCCAGGCGCCAGAGGCTGAGGAAGGGCAGCTGCGGAAGTCATCACCGGGTGTAGACTCTGCTTCCCCGTCTTCCCCTCCGGCCCTGCGTCCAGGAAGACAACAGCAGCGCCTCCCGTCCCCACCCGCTGCGGCAAAGCATTGTGGGTGGTGTGGACAGGACGCGGCTCCTCCACGCAGCGCCGCTCCCGCGCTCCGGCCCAGGGTGCAGGTTGCGGTGAGCCTGCCCAAAGTGTGCGCTGGCCGCGATGTTTACAATTAGCCCGGGACCAGCTCCTGGCAATGCCGGTCTCTGCACCCCCGCTCCCCACGCCGCAACCCAGAAATCTAAGGACACGCAACATGCATTTTCCTTGTCCTCCGCTCGTGCAGACACGGTCTAGGATCCACAGGCGCGCAGTCCAGGCAGACGTAAACAGAAATTGATCAGACCTGTTTCGCGACTGCAGCGCACACGTGACGAGGCTGCCAGCCCTCCTTCCTCTCCGGCACCCGCGCGGCGAGGCCCGGCTGCGGCGCGCTGCGGCAGTGGAGCTGGAGGCGGCGGCGCGCAGCTCCGCGGAGCTCCCAGGCCCGGCCCGGGCCGGCGGGGGCCCGCCTGCAGGCGGCGTCACGAGGGGCGGGGCGGAGGCTCGCTGGGAAGTTGCACCCGGTCAAGTTGCAGTCTTGTAAGTAACGCCATGGACCGGGAAAGTGGGAGGGGCCGCTCCCGGAACGCAGCCTTCTCGTAAGAACCTCCAAGGAAGCAAGGAAAAAAAAAAGAAAAAGAAAAAGAAAAAAAGAGGGCTAGACTGAGCTCCCGGGAGGCCTCTGAAAGCTTCCACTAGAGAAGAACTCGTCTCTCAATTTCTTTAACTGCAAGAAGCGGAGGACCTGTGCGAGGACTCCAGGGGCAAGGTGGAGAACAAGAGTAGGGCGCGCCGGGCCCCAGCGGTCCCCCGCAGGTTGCAGACACGGCGGACTCTCGGCGGCTTCTGAGCACGGAAGGAGCTGTCGCGGGGTCGGGAGGCAGCCCCTCGTCCCCGTCTCCCCATCTTCCGACGGCCGGCGGGGCCATGTCCAGAGGCCCGAGCTCCGCAGTTCTGCCGAGCGCCCTGGGATCCCGGAAGCTCGCCCCCCGGAGCCTCAGCTGCCTGTCGGACCTGGACAGCAACGTGGCCTTGGAGCCGCGACACTGTAGGCCCCCGGGGAGCCCAGGCCGCGCGCCGCCACCCACGCCGGCGCCGTCGGGCTGCGACCCCCGCCTGCGGCCCATCATCCTGCGGCGGGCGCGCTCGCTGCCCAGCTCCCCCGAGCGCCGACAGAAGGCCGCGGGCACTCCGGGCGCTGGGTGTCGGCCGGGCTGCAGCCGGCAGCTCCGCGTGCGCTTCGCCGACGCCCTGGGCTTGGAGCTGGCTCAGGTGAAGGTGTTCAACGCGGGAGACGACCCGTCGGTGCCGCTGCACGTGCTGTCGCGGCTCGCCATCAACTCGGACCTATGCTGCAGCAGTCAAGACCTGGAGTTCACCCTGCAGTGCCTGGTGCCCGATTTCCCGCCGCCCGTCGAGGCCGCCAACTTTGGTGAGCGCCTGCGGCGGCAGCTGGTGTGTCTGGAGCGTGTCACTTGCTCGGACCTTGGCATCAGCGGTACGGTGCGCGTGTGTAACGTGGCCTTCGAGAAGCAGGTGGCCGTGCGCTACACTTTCTCAGGCTGGCGCAGCACCCACGAGGCGGTGGCGAGGTGGCGCGGGCCCGCGGGGACCGAGGGCGCAGAGGACGTCTTCACCTTCGGCTTCCCGGTGCCGCCCTTCCTGCTGGAGCTCGGCTCCCTAGTGCACTTCGCGGTGCGCTACCGAGTGGCGGGTGCCGAGTACTGGGACAACAACGATGGCCGAGACTACAGCCTCACGTGTCGCAACCACGCGCTGCACATGCCTCGAGGGGAGTGCGAGGAGAGCTGGATCCACTTCATCTGAGCCCCGCGGGGCTACAACCTGGAGCCTCTGAGACACCTAAGCCACGCCTGCTGTCATTCATTTCCCTGCTGGGCCCTCTCCGGTTGTTCTTCGCCACCCTGCAAGTCCTCTGACCTCATTTTCTGCTGCGAGGTCCCCCGGCAGAGGCCCATCCTGTCTTCTACTTGAAACGTCTGAGTCACTTGGTCTAAAAAGCAGCCTCAGATGGCCGGAAGGCCGAGTTGAGTTGTGTAATGAGTTGGGGCACGGTGGTGGGGTAGGTGCATGGGAGGGTGGGCCCTCTGGGGAGGCCCAAGCAGCTTGTTTTGGAAAGGCCCGAGTCCTGCTAGGAAGAGCTTTTGCATGTGTCCTGAATGTGTCTCTGTAAACATAGCTGTTATTTATTATTGTGATGTTGGGACCTTTAGCCCATAGCGAATGCCTCCTCAGGAATATTCTCGATTTAATAAGCTAAAAAAAAGTTCTGTTGTGTGTTTGTGCCCACAGTAAACAGAATGTACAGTGTGACCCACATCATGGTCCCTCCAGGCATTCCTGCCCCACGACAAGGAAAACCTGAGACCACATCTGCTTGCCAATGGCTGTCTTCTAACAGTGGGAAACTATTAATAGGCAAGAAATTATCAGTCATCACACAACCATTCCTGGGCATTGAGACCGCCCTGGTGGGGCTGTGTGTCTCCTATGTTAACAGCTGGGGAGGAGGGGAAAAGTTTCAAACTTAAACTAGCAAAACAGTTCTTTCTCTGCAGTCACAATTCTGATTTCATGTATTTCTCTGTTCAGGCCATTCTGTTTAAGTTGGAAACTACCTAAACATTTTAAGAAGTCTTGCCTTATTTATTTCAATTTTCAGGTGACTAGAGAATTTTAGGCAACAGTGCCCTTGTGATTACCTTTTTGACCATTAAGGTGACTCTTTTTATTTCTTGTTAAGCATCAGAGGATGTCAGCATTTATCTTTTGGGAATCCAGTTACAAGGTGGAACTAGAAGGTGCTTCAGCAATAGCCAGAGCACTAGAGAAAAATAATTGACAAATATTTATACTTGTAAATTGTTTGGAGCTGTATTTACATGTCATGTTTTATCAGGTACCCACAAACTTTATACTTTGTGCCTTCAGATAGGGTTTCTAACATGTTCTAGATTTGTCAGTTTTAAAATATTAAATTCTTTTTTGTTTTAACTCAGCCAAGAAGTCAAGACCACTGTCCCCTGCTGGGTTAGGCAATCGCTTAAAACTCCAGAGAACTCCAGGCTGATGAGTTCTTTTGGTGCTGAACAGTGGTCTCTGATTACAGGTGCTAAAACTAAGGTGTGAAAAAAAAAAGCCAAGAAGGATCAGATCTCCAGTTTGTGAAGTGTGATTGTGATACAGTTGAAACCAGCGTGATCAGTTTTATGATACCTGTCACCAGGGAATTAACTCTAAACTTTTGAATGCTTGTTGGCATCTGTCAAATTAATACCGAAAGGACACATTTTGCTTTTTACCAATTTGGTTTTGATAATTGCAACCTCTGTGCTTTCATAGTTCAAAGAACAGGGATGGCTTTCTTTGGTATCTTTTGATCTAAGAACACTGAATTTTAACTTAAACTATTGTGACTAAATTGCAGTCTTGGCCGTTAGCACTGTTCACTACATTGGCATGCAAGAGAGAGAAAAGCCTGGTTACATTTCCTGCTATTTAACCAACTGTCCAATTAGGTCAGCAAGCCTCTTCAGGGCCCTGGCTGTTAATGCCCCTGGCGCCCCAACAGAGAGCAATACAATTGTCCAGAGAGTTTAGGTATGAGAGCTGCCAGATTTATTTTACTTAAAGGCATGTAGAGATCTCATAATCTATGTGTTCAGGTCATGAAATATAAAGTAAATGTTATATCTTTAAGTTAACCTCAACGTGCCTTTTAAAAAATATCAACATTATGAAATTTAAAAGCTTAAATGTACTTGCCTAGTTAATAAAGATGCTGTGGAACAACTGAAGGAGAACCTTCAGACCGACCCTAAAACAGTTATATTGCTTAGATGTTAACATTTTCTAGTGGACTGTGCAATTGCTGGGTTGTCTCCCCACACATATTTTATTGTTATTTAAAATGATTTTACCCATGCCTAAGTATTAAAGTATATGTGTGAAAATAGCTGTGGGCCATTCTATTATGCTAGAGTATGTTTTTCTTGTGGCCTAACTACAGAAGACCAAGCTTTAGAAACTTCTTGTTTAAATAATTTCATGTCTTATCCTTTCTACAACACTGATAAATGTAGAGCGTTGGCAAAAATAAATACATTTTGTCATTGTGCCTCAGCTTCAGTAGCAGAGTTGTTATGTCTTTGAGAAAAGAAATTATAATTTTATACGCCAGGTCAGCATGACATATGAAGAAAGCTCTAGGGGAATACAGGGAATTGATCTTTAATGTACTTCTCTTACAACACTTAATGACACTGTGCAGGCAGTAATGAGTGTGTGTCTGCCTTCCTCCCAGATCATGACCCTCACCTAAGTACAAAGTCTTGCACATGGGGGAAGAAAACTTATTATGTCTTCCCTTATTTGTTTGGCCACAGTGCTGCATGCTTTAAATATGTGATTTCATTTACTTCTGAATGTTATGCTACCTGGTAGACAATATTCCATTTTTCTTAGCTGAAAAGAATAAGGTTCAGAGAGGTTTAGGTACAGCCATAGGCCACATAACATTTCACTCAACAGGGAACTGTATGTATGACAGTGGGTCTATGGAATTATGTCCCCCCTTTTTTTTTGAGATGGAGTCTTGCTCTGTCACCAGGCTGAAGTGCAAAGGCGCGATCTCAGGTCACTGCATTCTCTGCCTCCCAGGTTCAAGCAATTCTCCCACCTTAGCCTCCTGAGTAGCTGGGACTACGGGTGCATGCCACCATGCCCAAATTTTTTTTGTATTTTTAGGAGAGACAGGTTTCACCCTGTTGGCCAGGATGGCTTTGATCTGACCTCATGATCCGCCTGCCTCAGTCTCCTAAAGTGCTGGGATTACAGGCGCGAACCACCATGCCTGGCCTATACCATATTTTTACTTATCTTTTCTGTGTTTAGATATGTAAATACTCACCATTGTGTTACAGTTGTCTACAGTATTCAGTGCAGTAACATGCTGTATGAGTTTGCAGCCTTGAAGCAATAAACGGCACTATATACAGCTGAGGTGTGTAGTAGGCTGTACCATCTAGGTTTTTGTAAGTCAACTCTAAGATATTCACAAAATGATGAAATTGCCTAAGGACACCTTTCTCAGAACTTACCACTATCATTAAGCAATGCATAACTGTAATTCACCTGAAGTCCCTTAGCTGATAAGTAATAAATTGAGCATTCAACCCTATTTCAAAGTCAATGCTCTCTCTACCTGTGATATGACATATAGAATATTCCAAATAAATGTTGATTCAGAAAGCTAAATTAATTGAAAACCAAATTTTGATTTTTTTTTTTTTTTTTTTTTGAGACAGGGACTTGCCCTGTCACCAACATTGGAGTGCAGTGGTACAATCATAGCTCACTGCAGTAACCTGCTTCTGGGCTCAAGCAAAATTTCCCCACCTCAGCCTCCAGTGGAGAGTAGCTAGGTCCACAGGCGCATGCCACCACACCTAGCTAATTTTGTTTTTTATAGAGACAGCGTCTAGCTATGTTGCCCAGGCTAGTCTCAAATTCCTGGCCTCAAGGAATTCCATCAACTCAGCCTCCCAAAGTGCTGGGATTATAGGTGTGAACCACTGCATGTAGTTTCCAAATATTGATTATAATAAGTTTTTTCATGAAACGCCACAGTCTAAAACCTTTAAAAAGAATTCAATTAATATTAAAATTAGTGATATCCTTTTTTCTTCCATGTTGTCATTTACTGACGTTTACTAAATAATCCGCAGGCTTTTTGAACACATGAAGCAATAAAAAGGGCTCTAACATGGTTCTTCTACTAAAAAATGGCAAGGTAAAAAATAATCACCATTAATTTTTGAAGTGTATTAGGAAAATTGCTGTGCATTCGAAACTCCATCATGAAGGATCCTAAATCTATTGGCAAAAAATTAGGTGTGAAAATAATTATGCAAAATTGTCAGGTCACAATTTTGAAGTGCTCTACAATCCTCTTACATTTTGTGTTATACATTAATACTTAAACATATGAAGAATTCAAAAGCATTGAAAGCTTTGAACATATAAAATCCCCTCAAATCCCTGCATACACCTGTGTACCTTAGCTTGCATAGGTAATCTGTCAACTCTGAATTAAAAAACTAATATATCAAAATTAAGTTAAATCAGGGTAGTTAAAAGGTTGTCAAGAAGTTGGTAATTTTAGCTAAGCAGAATATTTAAAACACTTTTGAGAGCTTATTTAATGTGATTTGATTGGCTCTGGTCCTCAACTGAGCTTTGATTTTATTCCTTGGGTTTATTTTTTCAAGTGCTTTCCACCACACATCTAAATCCTAGTCCCATATTTTTAAACAATTGGTGCCTTTTAGATAGAAAATTTAAATGTTATTAAAATATAATTTTAAATTTTGATTTGGCGATATCTATAAAAAGTTTACACATACAATCCCAATTTTAAAAATTTATCTGACACAAATGTTGGATAATCCAAAGGTAGTGCTGCAATATTATTTGTAATAGAAGTGTAGGCCAATCAGTGGAGGGTGGAATTCCTCGGATGAAGTTAATTCACGTAATTCAATAATTAGGCAGCTGTTAGAAAGACCAATCTGCATCTCAGTGCACGTGGAACACTTTCCATCCCAGAATGGGAACACGTGGAAAACACCCAGAAGGCTGAGCACCAAACACCGACGCCCTCTGTGAGCCAAGGGGCAAGGGGACCTTTCGCTTTTTGTTTTTGCTGTTGTTTTGGGACGGAGTCTTGCCGTGTCACCCAGGCTGGAGTGCAATGGCGCGATTCTGGCTCACTGCCACCTCTGCCTCCCAGGTTCAAGCGATTCTCCTGCCTCAGCCGCCCGAGTAGCTGAGATTACAGGCGCCCGCCACTGCGCCCGAGATGGTGTTTCACCATGTTGTCCAGGCTGGTCTCGAACTCCTGACCTCGTGATCCTCCCACCTCGGCCCCTCAAAGTGCTGGGATTACAGGCGTAAGCCACCGCGCCTGACCCAGAGCTTGCGTTTTGTACACAAGCACCTGCTAGCTGCGTAAGTTAAACGGTTATTTTAAATGGAAACCTCTGAAATAGCCTAGGAATACGCGGTTGGGGACCCAGCTCAGCACCGCGTTCAGAGCGGTGCCTGCGGTCCCTCCTGACCTCCGGCACCCGAACTCAGGAGCCCGGGTGGCCCTGCGCCCCCTGCTGGCCGGAGCCAGGCTTCGCCCGCGAGCCATCGGCCCCGCACCCTGGCCCCGCAAGTCCGGCTCGCCTCCGCCTCCCCCGGGACCCGGTGGCCCCTGGGACGCGCTCCTCCTGGTTCCGCTCGCGCTTCCATCCCTTCCATCCCTCCCTGCTCGCCTGTCCTGAGGCCGGGGCCCGAGTCTAGGCAGCGCGTCTCCTCGGGGCAGGAGCAACTCCGCTCTCGGGGCGTTCCCCAGGAGAGCATAGCGCGGGAGGACAGGGAGCTGAAAGGCCGCCCCCAAGGCCCGAGCTCCGGGACAGCTGGGACCCAGTGACCGGAAGGTCCGGCCTGAGCCACGCCCCCTGCGTCCCCCAAACCCCCGCAACGCGACGACCTCTCAGGTCACCAACCCCTCAGGCCTCGTGTGAGTTCAAGGGGCGGGGCCTGGCCGGCGGTGACGCCGATTGGACGCACTACCGACCGCGCCTGGCGCGGATTGGACGGGCGCTTCCCGCCTTCCACCGGCTTCCTGAGGCGCCACGGCGGTGCCTGAGGCGCGGAGCCGCGACGCTGGTAGGCAGCGGGGGCTGCTCCACCGACTCCACGCGGAGGCCTCCTCCTGCTGGCAGGTTGAGCAGGGAGCCTGGTGGGCTTCCCCGATGGCGGGCGCGGAGGGAGGGTGCGGCTTTGGCTTGGTTTTCTAGGCCAGGCGGGCGGGAAGCTACCGACGGTTGAGGCGGAGCCGTTGTGGAAGCCACCAAGGGGGAGGGGGCGCGGTTCTGCAGCCGCGCGGCGGGGGAGACGCCGAGGCTGGGCCGGGGCGCGGGCTGTGCGGAGTCCGCAGCGAACGTGGTGCGCGCGGGCGCTGGCCCGGGACAGGATCCGGTTGGTGCGGGCGCGGGCCTCGGCCCCGGGGATGGGAAGTGGGCTCTCCGAGCCGCCCCCACGCGTTCGCGACTGTCGGTGGCTGAAGCCCGGGGCGGCGCGGTTGGCAAGGAGGGAGCTGGCCTGGGGCTGCGCGCGTCGGGCGCGGGAGGGGAGGCCGGGCCGCCCTGCCTGCTGCTGTGGTGCGGGCCGGACCGGGGTGGCGTCGGCGCTGCGGCCTGGGGCGCGCCTCGGCGTGTGCTTTGTTGGTTCGGGGGTGACCCTTGGAAAAAGGGGTCACCGTGCCGGCATTGGGAGCAGGGACTTCGCCTTCGGCCTCATTGTTGCCACTGCGGGTTCCGCTTAGAGAAAAACGGAGCGCGCTCAAAATGGCCCTCCTCCTCCTCCTCCTCCTCCTCCTCCGCCCTGGCCGTCGGTTCTCGCCTTCGCTCCCTCCGCCTGCACCTGCGGCCCCCGAGCGAGCGAGCGGCTCAATGGGTGGCACGTGGCTCCACCTGCGGCCTCTCCTGGGTGAGGCCCGAGGCCCAGCCGAGAATTTGCGAAATCAGCGGCGTCTACGTTTTTATTTTTATTTATTTTTTGAGACAGAGTCTCACTTTGTCACCCAGGCTGGAGTGCGGTGGTGCCATCTCGGTTCGCTGCAACCTCAGCCTCCCGGGTTCAGGCGATTCTCCTGGCCCAGCATCTGGAGTAGCTGGGATCACAGGTGCGCGCCACTACGCCCGGCTAATTTTGTGTTTTTAGTAGAGATGAGGTTTCACCATGTTGGCCCGACTGGTCTCGAACTTTTGACCTCAGGTGATCCACCTGCTTCGACCTCACAAAATGCTGGGATTACAGGTGTGAGCCACTGCGTCCGGTCTACATCGTTATTTTAGTAATGGTGCTAGGAGGGGGACATCTTCCCTCCCCTTCATTTGCCTTTAATGTCTTTTTGGACATCTTAGCTATGTTGTTACCATGGCAGAGGGGACTTTGATTATCCACTGTTGCTTGCATTCATTCAGCGATTTTTCCTTTGTGGGGGAAAAATCTGTGCCTCCTCCATCTGCCAGGTTGTTTTGTTTGTGGTTGTTTTTAACTGTAACCCCTTCTGCTGCCTGATGATACAGTCACCTTCTCACTAGTTCTCTGTTGCCCGCTAACCAATCCCCGAGTTCAGTAGACTGGAGCTCAAAGCCTGCTTACTTGACATGGAAGTCCACAATTCTCTTGAAATATTTTTATTCTGTGCTCGGTTTCCGAAGTTGTTTTGTTACATAGCAGTAGTTCCTAAAGATCTTTTAAATTGTTCCCTCAAGGGGGTGGAAAAAAAAGTGTATAACTTTTTTTGTTTCTTTTTAAAGTTAGCTTTCTCTTTCATTTGCAAATGTTGACTTGTTTGATACTGTGGTTAGTGCTGTACTTTTGACTCTTGCAGCCTGTATACATTTAGCTTTGAGGTGTGTGTGTGTGTGTGTGTGTGTGTGTGTGTGTAACTAGATTACTCAGTTTGCTTTCCTTGGTTGGTTTTTCCCCGACTGACTTCGTGCAAAAGTAGATTAGAAAGTAAAACCATCTTGTTAGCTTTATGTGCCTCTTTGGGTGTACTTTTTTCTGTGCTGTAGTAGTTCATGTCTCAGGGCACCTTGTAAAACACACTGTTGCAAATCGCTTTAGTTAGGAAAACAGCTAAAACATATGCTAATAGGCAAGGCTGCCCCAACAGTTGTTGGTCCTAGAGAAAGGATGTAAATGGAGCCCCATGACATACTTCAAGTTTTTTAAGTTTTCCATCAATTATTCAAATTGTGAAATAAAATAGTCTCAAATTTCACAAATACACTTTCACCTCATCAAAATAGAAAAATACATGTATGGCCATTATTATTATTGAGACAGGGTCTTATTCTGTCCCCCAGGTGGGAGTGTAGTGGCGTGAACATTACTCATTGAAACCTGGACCTCCCACTTCAGCCTCCTGAATAGCTAGACCACAGCTGCAAGCCACCAGGCCAGGCTAACTTTCATATTTGTAGAAATAGGATCTAACCATGCCCATGCTGGTCTGGAGCTCCTGGGCTCAAGCAGTTCTCTTGCCTGGGTCTCCCACAGTGCTAGACACCAGCATTACAGGCATAAACCACTAGCAGTGGCTATTATTTTTATGACTGAATCCTGAAAAGTATAAAAGATAACTGAATGCATTTATTATGGATATGTGATGATGGACTGGTAATCTTTAAGCGATAAAATACATAATAAATTACTATATATAGTCATTTTTAAACAAATGATGTTATAATGAAGACTTTACCATTGACAGCAATGATCTAAGGATTAAAACTAATTACTCAAGTGTGTCATACTCAAAATGTATCAAATTTGGGGTTATATCACAAACAAAATACATATAAAAAGTATTTTTCTTTAAAAAATATCCTGAAGTATTAACATTCTCATGGAATTTAATGAATAGTTTCCTTAAAATATGAACACTGGAATTGCTTATTTTTGAATAACATATTCAATATTTTATAACAATCTATTCACTATTTTAGTATTTGCTTGCTGTCTAATGTAAAAAGTCCATATCATGTTTATGTAGTTTATGTCTAGATCTACATATATATTAATATGGTTTGCTTGCTACTACAAAATGCTCCTCAGCCACCATGTGCAACTGTTGTAGATACTGTGCACTAAGTTGCTAGTATTTCTAGAGTCACAAATTGGAATAAAAAGAGAAAGAAGATGGGCATTTGGCACTGTTAAGAAGTAACACTTTGTCATGCAAGAATCAACTGTATTCTTGCTCTGCCGGAGGAAGGATTTGACAATATCTCTTGTCTCTTACCTAATAAGCACTTGTTCACGTGCTACCTTCATTCTAAAGCAGAGACTAAAATACCAGCATTAACACAGTCTGAAACCTTCTCTGCATTCAATTGTGGCTTCACACTTGCCGACTTCTTTCAACAGTTTTTTAATTATTATGGAAAATTCTGACACATGTAAAGTAAGCAGAATGGTGTAATTAATTGCAGTCCCTTTCTTTCATAGGCATAGGCAAAAGAAGTGTTTCTCAGGGGCCTGAAGGATAAAGTTATGAGAATGAATAATGTGTTCATGGTTATAGACTTTGTGGGGGTAGTGCCGAGTTCTGGATTTTGAGCTCATAGAGATGCCTGTGTGCTCCATAATGAGAGTGAGAAAGAGATTGCACTATACAGAGCGCATAGCAGGGGCCCCTTTAGCTCCGTCCTAAGGGTGTGGTGATTAACAGGGTGTATATGAATGTATGTTGAACCTTAGGAAACAGAATTGGGTTAATTTAACCCATTGTATTCTCAGTCCAGACACCATGCTTTACTACACTCCTCTAAATAAAGAATTAAAATTTTAAAATTCCTTTTTCTTTTTTTTGCCATTTGGTCCATTTTATTCCCTATCCCTAGAGTTATTTTTCTTACCCATGCAAATCAGCCAGTGTTCATATATCCAGTATTTATATCCTTCTATAATTAAGTACCCTCTAATTATTATACACACATATCAATACCAGTGCACATAAGCCTTTATTAAGTATATTTTAAATTTTACATAAAGAATTTCTGTATCTTATTCAGCATTTCTTTTGCTTTATATTGTGTTTGAGATGCATCGTATTCCGAGATACTTGTTCATTATATTCAGCTACTGTATTCAGTTGCATCACTAGCCACATTTCATGTTCATTTACTTCCTCCTCCACCACACTGACATAGGGGCAGTTTCAATTTCTTGCTATAAGCAGAAATAAATCAGAAAATGTTTTTATACTCTCTTTGGGCTTTTGAGTTTCTCTAGGGTGTAAAATTAGAAGTGGAACTACCGCGTGCGTCATATGGTATTCAAGTTTACATTTTTACCCAATGCTATCAAACTCTTTTTCAAAATGCAGTTATTTACTTCCCACCAGGGGTACATACATGATTTCCAGTTTCCTTTATTTCCACCATGACTTGGTAGCATCCGTCTCTTTAGATTTTGCCAATCTGGTGGATGGTGGAGAGGGGACTGGTTATTGTTTTACTAGCATTCTGATTACCATAGAGGTAACATTTTCTTTTCTTTATTAACCAGTTGAGTTTTCTTTTCTGAATGAGCTGCTTTTCCATTTTTGCTGTTGGGTTATTGCTTTTTCTCCTTGATTTGTAAGTTCTTCATAATAATTCTTTTTATGTTAATCCTTAATCTCTTACTCCATTGCAAATGTCTTCCTAATATGCTGCTGCTTTTACAAACAGTGATGCACAAAAAGTTCAAATCTATTACATTTTATGTTTTGTGCCTTTTGTTTTAAATTCTTTCCTGTTGGAACATCTTAGTGATACCCTCCTGTACATTTACTTTTTACATTTAGGTAGTTATTGTATCTAGACCTTATTTTTTAAATGGCAAAATAGATGTCTAATGTTATTTTTTCCACATGCCAAGTCACTTTTCCCAGACCATTTATTGACCAGCTTACCTTTCCCCGATTTGCAAAACCGTTTTATTCAAATATGAACTTCTAGTATATGTTTGAGTATGCATTTGAATTATCTTGTTTTATTGATTCGTTTGTCTGTTTTCCATTCTTAATACTTCACTGTTTATAGTTATTTCTTATGACTTCGTAACATGTTTTAATATCAAATAAGGTGATTTTTCTTCTCTGATATTTTAAGTTATTTTAGTATTAGAGCAGCATTATTCCTTCATACACATTTTAAAAGAGCCAAATCTCTCAAATTATTATTTTGTGGTTTTTACTGGAATTTCTTTGACATTTAGAATTTCAGATACTTATTTTTAGTGAAGCATTGATCGTTTTATAATGTTAAGTCCTTCCATTAATGAGTAGGAACAGCTTCATGTATTCATATCTCTTGTTAAGGTCTTTAGTATATTATCTTCATAAAGATTATGTTTCCTTTTTGTTACATTCATTTTAGTTTTCTATATTAACAATTGTCTGATTATTGCTAATAGAAAAAGAAACACTATAGATGTTTATGCTGAGCCTTGCTGGAATCTCTCAAAGGACCTCTAAAAACAGCATTCCTCTTTCTTTCTGGGTTCTAATCAAGTAGGAAAAAGAGTGCCAGAAATATAACCTTCATTAGTCCTATATTGGTTAGGTTCATGGGTGTGAGTTTAGATTGTTGGCCTAGTGAATTTGCTAACACTGAGCTTCAGAATTAAGCAAACTTACTGCCCAAGGCACCCCAAGGTAAATGAGTTAGACCTTTCCAGCCCTGCATTTTTTACCTTCCACCCTGGAGGAGAAAGCTTACTATATGACTCCAGAGAAAAAGGACAGAGCAAAATACTGACTTTCTCACAAAGACAGAACCTCCAGAAAACAACATAAAACCCCTCTTTCAGTTTTCATGTAACAAAAAAGAGCTGAGCTGAGCCTGACTCATTTTCCTTCCCAAATTTACTAATCAAATAATTCCAGCTCCTCACTGGTGATGTAAGTTAAAGCAATAGAGCGAGACCAG